ACAGCCCTGTCCTCCTCTACCCCTCAGACCGGGAGCCCTAGAAGCGGCCTGGGATGGTGACCCAGTCTGGGTCCTGGCACTGCCCGCTGCCTGACAGGATCAGCCGCCTCCCACCCCAGGGCAGGGAGAGGTTCGAGATCAATGAACCAATCACCCAGCAAAAGCACTGGGAACAAAGCCATCACAGCCACTCAGCACCTGGGAATCCCCGGGGGCTCCTCCCGCCCCAGGGGTCACACCTGGGGGGCTCCTCCCGCCCCAGGGGTCACACCTGGGGGGCTCCTCCCCTCCTCCAGGTGGGAAGACACAGAGACAGACATCTCGCTCAGTCAGTTCTTCCCACACTAGCCCAGGGAGCGTCTCAAAACAGAACCAGGGGGGCGGGGAGGTGTCGGCTGGTTCAGCCACCACCTATGATTCCAGCACCCCACACAGAAGCCGGTTCAGGTCCTGGCTGCTCCACTTCATATCCAGCTCCCTGCTGATGCACCCGGGAAAGCAGCACAAGATGGCCCAAGGGCTCTGGTCCCTGTCAGCCACATGGGAGACCCTGTGGAGTCCCAGGTCCCGGGCGTTGGCCGGGCCCAGCCCTGGCCACCGTGGCCACTTGGGGAGTGAACCAGCAGATGGAGGGTGTGCTCGCTCGGTTTCAAATACATAAACCAATTCATCTTTTTGTTTTGTTTTGTTTTTTGTTTTTTAAGAAAGGAGAGTGGATTAAGTCACTCTTTTTAACTACTACTGAGATACGGCTCAGGATAAAAAGCAAACTGCTCAGGGCATGAGAGCAGGAGAAATGGCAGGACGGGAAGCCGCCCCTTGGCAGCTGAGCCAGGCCTGGCTGGTGATGCCGCGGAGGCGGGGGGCATTCCCCAGGGCTCATCCTGGCTTCTGGAGAGGGGGAAAACACAGGGTTCATCACGGCGGAGCTCAGCAGCGCCCACCTGTCTCAGTCTACACAGGCCGCTGGAACCAAACACCACAGGCAAGACGGCTCGGACAGCAAAACCGCACTTCATGGCCCTGCAGCCTAGCAGTCCAGCATGGGGGGGGGACTGGACAGGACGGCAAGGGCTCGCTTCCTCCCCTTCCTCCCCACCAAGCCTCAGGTGGGGGCCCCACCCCATACCCACACCTGCAGGCAGTCACACCGGGCCTCAGGCCTCCCACGCATGAATGGGGGGGGGGGCAGGGACTCATCAGAACTCCCAACGTTGCCAGCCCTGAAATGGGAAAACCAGGCACTGCACAGGCGAAGGCACAAGCCCTGAACTGATCGTCCTAATCGGCTGCGCCCACACTTATTCAAGCCTTTGGATCCAATTTCCTGATTCTAGGCAGTCAGGGAATACAGCAGACCGGCGGAAGAAGAGGTCAGCTGGCGAACAACCTCACCCTGCGGGCCACGGCCCCTGTAGCAGCTGCTTACGAATGGGCGAGTTCCAATGAGACTCGACCTGACCTGAGTCACACATTGTCACAGGTCACGAGATGTATTCCGATTTTTTCTGGTTATTTAAAAATGTTGAACACCATTCTTAGTTTGCAGACTGTGCAAAACGGGCAGCAGCTGCAAGCATCAGACCTCTGACAAAGGAATTCTATCCAGAATATATAAAAAATGCACAACGCGGGGCCAGTGCTGTGGCGTAAGGGGTTAAGCTGCCACCCTGCAGCACTGGCATCCCGTATGGGCACTGCTTCCAGTCCCAGCTGCTCCACTCCTGATCCAGCTCCCTGCTAATGCACCTGGGAAAAGCAGCGGAGGACGGCCCAGGTGCACCCATGTGGGAGACCCGGACGAAGCTCCTGGCTCCTGGCTTCCATCCGGCTCAGTCCAGGCTGTTGCAGGCCATTGGGCAGTGAACCAGTGGATGGAAGATAACGTTCTCTGTCTGTCTGTCTGTCTCTCTCTCTAACTTTGCCTTTCAAATAAATAAAAAGAAAGAAAAAAAAAACCTCAATAATCCAAAGACAACTCAATTTAAACAAAAAGGCAAGAATTGAAGAGACATTTCACCAAAGACATACAAATGGCCAATAAGCACCTGAGAAGCCATGCAAGAAGTTACTCGTTAAGGAAGTTCAATCAAAACCGCAATGACCCGGTTGCCCCTCTTCCAGGCCAGCTCTCTGCTATGGCCAGGGAGTGCAGTGGAGGATGGCCCAGGTGCTTGGGCCCTGCACCCCATGGGAGACCAGGATAAGCACCTGGCTCCTGGCTCCTGCCAGGATCAGCGCGGTGCGCCGGCTGCAGCGGCGGCCATTGGAGGGTGAACCAACGGCAAAGGAAGACCTTTCTCTCTCTGTCTCTCTCTCTCACTGTCCACTCTGCCTGTCAAAAAAAAAAAAAAAAAAAAAAAAAAAAAAAACCGCAATGAGACGCCTGTTCACAGCCTCTACGACGATTACGCAGGATCAAAGGCAGGGCGGGCATCGCGGCACAGCGGGCTGAGCTGCACTTGGGACGGCCGCATCCCATGTGGAGCACCGACTCACGTCCCCTCCACTTCCAACCCCGCTTCCTGCTAACGTGCCCAGAAGGCAGTGAGTGAAGTGTTGGGATCTGGGCCACCCATGCAGGAGACCTGGATGGAGCTCCTGGCTTTGTCCTGGCCCAGCACTGGCTGGTGTGGGCTTTTGGGGAGTGAACCACCAGATGCAAGATCGCTCTCTTTGTCCCTCCCCCGCCCCCCCCCGCCCTGCAAATAAATACATAAACAAAATAAACAAATCTTAAAGAAAAAGAAATGAAAACATTGTCCACACAGAAGCTTGCACACAAGAGCTCATAGTAGCAATATCTGTAAGATAAGAAGTGGAAACTACCCAAATGTCCATCAGCCGATGGCTGGTATATACCCCACACAACAGGCGTCAGTACACCCCACGCAACAGGCGTCAGCACATCCCACACAACAGGCGTCAGTACACCCCACGCAACAGGCGTCAGCACATCCCATGCAACAGGCGTCAGTACACCCCACGCAACAGGCGTCAGTACACCCCACGCAACAGGCGTCAGTACACCCCACACAACAGGCGTCAGTCAGTACATCCCACACAACAGGCGTCAGTACATCCCACACAACAGGCGTCAGTCAGTACATCCCACACAACAGGCGTCAGCACATCCCGTACAACAGGCGTCAGTACACCCCACACAACAGGCGTCAGTCAGTACATCCCACACAACAGGCGTCAGCACATCCCACACAACAGGCGTCAGCACATCCCGTACAACAGGTGTCAGTACACCCCGCACAACAGGCGTCAGTACATCCCACACAACAGGCGTCAGTACACCCCACACAACAGGCGTCAGTACACCCCACACAATAGGCGTCAGTACATCCCACACAACAGGCGTCAGTACACCCCACACAATAGGCGTCAGTACATCCCACACAACAGGCGTCAGTACATCCCACACAACAGGCGTCAGTACATCCCACGCAACAGGCGTCAGTACATCCCACACAACAGGAAATGATCAGCCATAAAGGTGATGAAGGGGTGGGCATTTGGCCTCCTGCTCATGATGGCTGCACCCCCATGGGAGTGCCTGGGTTCAAGTCCCTGCTCTGCTCTGGATCCAGCTTCCCGCTCGTGTGCACCATGGAGGGTGGCAGGGATGGCTTGAGGTCCTGGCTCCCAGCTCAGCCCTCCTCCAGCCCTGGCTGTGGCCGCGGGGTAATGCAAGCCAGCTATTGTGGGCATTTGGGGAGTGAACCAGCAAAGTGGAGCGCGTGCGCGCTCTCTCTCTCTCTCTCTGGGTATATCTGTGGCTCTCAAGTGAAAAAGAATGAAAAGTATGGAGGAACTATTCCAAATTAAGGGGCAGCACTGCGGTTCAGCAGGCTAAGCCGCTGCCGGCGACACCCCCACCCCATACAATCCCCACTGCTCCACTTCCAATCTGGCTCCATTAACAAGTGCGAGGGCCACTGCCACCCCCGGACCAGCCTGGGCCACTGTGGACCCAGTGGGTAAGAGAGTGCACGTTCTCTCTCACTCTCTCTGTAACTCTGACTTTTAAATAAATTAAAAATATTTTAAAAAGCAAGATTTCAGAGACAGCACTCACTTCACTGGATCCTGATTCAAAAGAACCAATGGCAAAAAAAATGTCCAGAATAAAACCCTTTTAGGGGCAAGCGCTGTGACGCAGATCAAGGCCTGCCTCAGTCGCGTCCTACAGGCTTGGCGCTAAGACGCCCGGGGGGCAGCAGGCAACGGCCCGGCCCGGCGCTGGGGCCCCTGTCACCCACGCGGGGGGCGCAGGTGCGCTCCGGCTTCCAGCCGCTGTGGGTGAGCAGCAGATGGGGGCTGTCTGTGCCTTTGCCTCCCGAATAAAAAACGAATCTTAAACCCAAGGATTTCTGAGACACTGGATTTGAACATGGACCACGTATTGGGCATGATAACGGCACCGCGACCCCGCAAGAAAACCCCTCCCCGCGAGTGCTGCAGTAGTTAGGGGCGAAAGGTCATGACTCGATGCTTTAAAAAATTCAGCAAGTGTGGCAAAAAAAAAAAAAGGGGGCCCCTCCGGGCAGCAGGCATCCCCACGGACGTCTCTCTCTACGCAAGTTGGAACATTTTCCTAATACAACCGCCCCACGCATCCCCCGAAAGGCGCACGCTCACACCGAGTCAGGACGCGAACCCCACAGGGAAACCCCGAGACCCCAGCCCCGCGCCGTGCACGCGGCGGCCAGGCGGCTTCCGCCCCCTCCGCCCCCAGGTCCCGGCGGGCGCCCCCTCCCCCGGGGATCCCCAGCCCCGCGCACCCCCCACCGACCGCCCCCCGCCGGCACTGGCAGGGGACGCTGGGAGATGTAGTTCGGCGCCAAACCAGCGACGCCGGCGGGCTTTATTCATGATTGACAGGAAAGGCGGCCATGGAAACCGTGCCCCCGCTTCCCGCAAGACCGTAGGCCGCTGGCCCGCGAGGGGCCGATCCCAACAACACTACCCCTCCACCACCTGGAACTCACCTCCCAAACGACGCCTCGGTCCCCAGTCGCCTCTTCAAGTGTGCCCCTACACCGGAAAAGAGCACTGTTTTCCCCCTCCGCCGCATCCACTTCCGCCCGGCAGAAGCGACCGGATGTAGAGCTGCCCCTAGTTACGGAGGCCGTACGCCTGCCTAGGTAAGTTCTCTCTTCGTCTTCTCCTCCCTCCGGAAACGAGAGTAGCAACTCGAAGGTTCCGGTTTATCAAACGGGTGTGACTGGCGAACGCTTAGTATGTGCTAGGCATGTCGCAGGGCGGACGGTTTCCTGCCGGATTCCCAGGCTTGCTGAGTCTTTGTAAGATGGAGATTAAGGACTAAATACGTCCGCGAGAGAACGCAATGCCCACTTCCCCGAGTATACTATCCATTCTTCTTGTGGTCTCATTGAGACCATTGAGAAGGGAGGCAGTCTCCCCATTTTACAGACAGAACAGTTGAGTCCGGGAGTCATAGCCATGGCAGCCCCTCAGGAAGCGCGGATTCCCCCCCCCCCCCCCCCGGCGCTGCCCGGCTGCCCCAGGGGCCAGCATACGGTTCCCGCCCTTTTCCAGGGTCTAGGGACCCACAGGTATTTCCCCAGCTCGGCCAGGCTAGCTCCCTGCAGAGAGGCGGAGCCGACGTGGGGGCGGGAGCCCGCGGGAGGGGCGCAGATCCAGTGCCCTAAGCGCCCCCACGGTGATGGAGACCCCGGCTCCTCGCGGGGGCTCTCATCCTTAGGCCCGCCATCCCAAGGTCCCTTTAAATACTTTGTCCCTTACCTGAGCCCCGCCCAGGGCAGGTAATCCTTAGCCCCGCCCCTCTGCCTGAAACCGGGATCGGGCCCGGAGCTGGGACTGGAGCACCCCTCCTCCCTCTCCCCTCCCCTCCCCTCTCTCTTCTCCCCCTTCCCAGCTGGCCACCGCGGGCCGAGGCGGCCCTGGACAGGTCCTCACAGGTCTGGGCGGGTAAGTGAGGGCTCCTGGAGGCAGAGCCGGGTCTGGGGACCCAGGCGTCCTGGCTTGTCCTCCCTGGTACCCCAAAACTCAGAGATGGGGGGACCGATGGCCCAGGGTCCCGGTCCTCGCGGGCCCTTGGTCGCCAGAATACAGGGCCCTGCTCCTGCCTCTGCTGTGACCTTTGCCCTCTGTGGGTGATGTGGCAATGAGCGTGGAGAGTGTGTAAGTGGGAGCTGCCCGGGGGGAAGGGACCCCAGTCAATCAGCAGGGGCCTGCTGTGTGCCCAGCCCTGTGCTGGGTGCTGCAGACTCGCTGGAGGACGGGCAGGACAAGCCTCCGGCCCCCAGAAGCCCCCTGCCTCCCCTCACACCTGGCCCTGACATCTGCAAACTGGGGCTCTGTGCCTCAGTTTCCCCATCTGTGAAACGGGAGTGATAATAGTTCTGTTTTGGCAAAAATGAAAATAAGGCAACGCAGACAAACCAGGTCTGGGACCGCTTCTCAGGGCCTGCTGCTTGCATTCCTGGGCCACAGGGGACCCGGGGACACCTTGCATCGCTCACCAGGGGCTGGCTCCAGGCGTCCACAGACAATGACAGGCCACCCCTCTCTGCTGCTGCTGTACATGGGGCTGACCTCCTGCCTGGATCCTTCGTACAGCGAGGAGCAAGACCAAGGTGAGTAGTCAGAGAAAGACCAGGATCTGCCGTGGCTCCTGGGTCAGGACCCAGGACCCCAAAGCCCTCGGTCCCCTCAAGGCCCTGACCCTGGCCCTCTGTTTTCCTGTTACTCTTGTCTTTGGGCCCAGTAGTCTTCCTGGGCTCCCCAGAGGCCCAGAGCTTCCTGGCCAGCCACAGGCGGATCCCCAGAGCCAACCACTGGGACCTGGAGCTGTTCACACCGGGGAACCTGGAACGGGAGTGTCACGAGGAGAGGTGTTCCTGGGAAGAGGCCAGGGAGTACTTTGAGGACAACACTCTGACGGTGAGGGCCCTGGGGTGCGCCGGGGCGGGGGGGAGAGGGGATGTGGCCCTCGACTCCCTCCCCCCCGGGAAATCCAGGAGAGCTGCCTGGGGCCTCACTGCTGTGCCCCCTTCTCTCCCACTGCTGCCCATCAAGGAGCGCTTCTGGGAGGGCTACATCTACAATGGCAAAGGAGGTGAGTGGGGGAGAAGCCCTGTTCTGTTGTCTGTGCAGCTAGGAAGTCCCCTTCCCGTGGAGGCCAAACTGACGCCCCCCCCCCCCCAAAATTAGGCACCAAAGCATCTGCTCTCCCCCTCCCAGGCCCCTCCCAGAGCCCCTGCCCCGGGGCTCCCACCGGGGTGACTGACAGCCTTGGGCTCACGGGGGCAGCCCACCTGAGTCCCTTTCTTTGAAGTCCACAGCCCCAGCCCCTATGGCAGCTTGGTTGCTAGGGGGGCTGCTCCCTAGCAACAGAGCCAGGGGAAGAAGCGGGCCTCCCTCACCTGCCGGGTTTGCCCACCCTCTAACCTCGTCTTGGCTGCAGCTGTGTTGCTAAGGGGGCTGCTCCTTAGCAACGGGGCCTGGCCAGGCCAGACAGAGGAAGCCCGGAGCACTACCTGGCTGGGTCCCCCTCCCCCACGGCCCCATCCAAGCCTCCAGCCTGGTTGCTAGGGAGGCCGGCTCCCTAGCAACCGCACCTAGCTCCAGGACCCAAGGCCTCCTGCCCACTGGAGGGGCCCCCTCCGGGCAGCAGATGCCCCACCCACTTGTGGCCTGGTTGCTAGGGATGGAGGCACCCTAGCAACAGGCCCCCCTAAGTCTGGGCCAGAGCCCTCCTGTTTGAGCCTGGCTCCTCGGGGGAGGTAGCTCCTTGTGCCGCAGGCTCCGTGAGGCCTATGGTATCCTGGAATGCACCTGAAACCTGCTGGCTGGCCCCTGCCTTCTAACCGTGCAGCTGTCAGCCAAGGGTCTCGAAGAGAGCACACCTCCCCCAGTCCCAGAGCTCCGGAGGCTTCCCAGAGCCCGGGTCTCCCTGTGCCCCCTTCTCCCGGGGCAGGAGGTCTCGGATCGCTGCAGCGGCTGCACCTCAGCGTCCTAGACATCAGTTATCGGGGGGGGGGGGGCAGCCCCTAAGCGCCTGCTGTGTGCAAGGACCCTTTCCTAGCCTATACCAGGGAGAAGACTCCCTCTGCTCTCAGGATGGAGGCCCCTGTCAAAGGAGCCGCGCTCCAGGCTGGGTAGTGTGGCCCGACCACGGGCACCCCCCCCCCGTGTGCCCTCACGCTCACTTCAGACATGAACGGTGCATTTAGCCGGCTGGCCTGTGCTATCATTGGCTCAGTGTGGCACACTCAGCACTGGGGCTCTCGAAGCCGGCAGTGTCCTGGGCTTCAATACCAACCAGCCCTGGAGGCTGTGGCCCTGGCTCTTGGGCATTTCACCCACCCCGTGTCCGGGGGGCAGGGCGGAGGGTCTTTGCGGTCATGGGGCATGGCTACCGTGTTTCCCATCCCAGAGGAAGTTCTCACGGGCCCTTGACACAGTCCTTAACCAGTCACAGCCTGGAGGGTGCAGGATATGGTCTCCATTTTATAGGGTGGGTAACAGAGGTTGGGGGGTGGGGGAGCTGGGTGGCCTGCCCGAGGTTGCAAGGCTGGGAAGTGGCCCCAGCCCTGCCTAACTCCATAAGCCACGCTCCTCTCTTACGGGGAAAGAACTTGGATTTTGGGTTGTTGGTTGGGTGGCAGTCCCTGAGACAACAACTCCCCTCCCCCCACCACCACCCAGGGCGTGGACGGATAGACGTGGCTGGCCTGGCAGTGGGGCTGACCTGTGGCCTCTTGCTCATCGTCCTGGCTGGCCTGGGAGCATTCTGGTATCTGCACTACCGACGCAGCCGAAGCCAGCAGTCCTGTCCCCAAGAGTAAGGGGGCTTGAGGGAGGAGGGACCCGGGGGCCCTATGCCACCTGCCCACGGGAGGACCACCCCCACAGGGCACCAGATGCCCCCACCCATCTGTGGCCTGGTTCTGGGTGGGGGGCAGCTCCTTGGTGCAGGCCCAGTGAAGGCGGAGGGCAGGGGAGGGAAGGGCGGGTTGACCCGAGGAGACGTGAGCAGGTGCCCACCTGAGGACAGCGTGGTGGGCAGTGAGTCTGAGCTTGCTGGCGTCTGTCCAGACCCCCAGCACCTGGTTCATGGGGGAGCCCTGTCACCACGTGCAGCCACCTTGCTGTCTTTGGAGTCCAGCTGTTACTTGAGAGCCCTTGGTGGTACCTTGGTCTCCATGGAGACAGGGTGGGGGTGTCTTTCCTGCTGATGAGGTCTCAGGGTGTGAGCGCAGGTGTTGAGAGGCTGGGGGTCTAGGGGTCTTTGAGGATGCGTAGATTCTAGGGGAGATTTGGGGACTCTGGAGCTACTGCGTAGCTGTGTTCCTGTCTGCAAGGATGCACGGAGTTCTGTCTCTGCAGGGCTCTCTCTCCGTGACTCTGCTGTGTCTGGCGCACCTGTGTGCTCCGTGGGAGACTGGCCTCTCCCTGAGTCCCTGTCCCACAGGTTTCCCTGCTGACCCCACCTTTTGTGTCCCCAGAACCGGGCTCATCAGCCCTCTCAATCCTCGGAGCCCCCTGGAGCCGCCGACGCCCCCTCCTCCGCCCCCACCCCCAGGCCTCCCCACCTATGAACAGGCACTGGCCGCCTCCGGGGTGCACGACGCACCTCCACCCCCTTACACCAGGTGGGGGGCGGGGCTTCCCAGGGGCGGGGCGCAAGGGGGAGGCGTGGGCTCGGGGGCGGGGCTTGGAGCTGGGGGCTTGTTACCTGGGGCCGGACTTGAAGCGCGGGGGCGGGGCCCTGTGCAATTGTCTGTAGGGGCGTGGCCCGGCGTGGTCTATGGAGCCTTGTGGGAGGGTGGGGCTTACGCCCAGAGGGCCCAGGATTGGCTGAGACGCTAAGGGCGGGTCGGAGTGGTCTTGGGTGAGGGGTGGGGGGAAAACAGCCTCCCCACTGCGCCCCTCCTCTCGCAGCCTTAGGAGGCCCCACTAAGGAACAGCTTCAGCCTGGACTTCCCGAGCTGTGCCCCCGATTCACACCGGATTCCGGAAGCCCCCCGGGCCCCTCGGACAGCGGAGCTGAGCTTGGTGGGCGGTGGGAGCAGAGGTCGTCCAGCCTGCGGCCCACCCT